ACACACACACACACACACACACACACACACACACACACACACACACACACATACATGCACACACATGTACACACTCACATGCACATACGCATCTCTTGGAACTCTACAGAACACACAGACACACATACACACGCTCACACACACATACACACACATACACACATGCACACACATATACACACACATGCACACACATACACTCATCATATACACTCTCATATACACACACACGCATACACACACATACACACATGCACACACATACACACATGCACACACATACACACATACACACATGCACACACATACACACATCATATACACTCTCATTTACACACACACATACACACATGCACACACGTTCACACATACACACCTGCACACACATACACACACAGCTCTAGGCAATCTACAGAACACACACACATACACACACACACACACAAGTATATATACACACGTATACACATATACATACACAACGCACGCGCAGACACATACATACAAATACGCACACACACACTCACACACACCTTCTCTCTCACCACATACACATGCCAACAGGTCCTTTTGACAAATTGTGGGTCGTTTGCGGGTGCTCTGTTGTGGTTTGCTCCTTCTTTCCTATTGAACAACTATCGTCTTTATATCTCTCCTCCTCCTTTTTTATGTTTGTTACTTTCTTGTAACAGGTCTAATCTTGGGCACTTATATAACCTTATTGTGTTGCAAGTGCCGTAAACCTCTTACTAAAACTAAACCCTGACTGATCACAAACAAACAAATGATGTAATGTGTCACTGTTGGGTTCCTAGGTTCACAGAATTGCAGAAATAGATACATAGTCATTTAAACAATAAAGTGATAATACAGCTACTGTGTTAGATATGATTTCATTAAGCGGTTCTTAAATTTTGAAACATTTTCATTCTTGTGGACCACGAAGTAATAATATTATTATTGTACTATGATATTGACAATGTGTTTGAGTGTATGTGTATGTGTGTGTTTGAGTATGTGTGTATGTATGTGAATGATGGGTGCACGTGTCTTTGAGTGTGTGTGGATGTGTGTATGTGTGTACGTGTGTGCTTTTATATGTGTGTGTGTATGTATGAGTATGTGTGTACATATGTACGTTTGAGTGTATGTATATGTGTGTGTGTGTTGGCATATGTGTGCATGTGTGTGTGTGTGTATGTGTATTTGTCTGTGAATGTATGTGTACGTGTGTGTATGTGTTTGTGTGTGTGTGTAGTAGGGAGCGTGGGTGAGAGAAACTTGGGGGAGGGGGCTGCTACAAGGAATCGATTGACAGAGCTAAAAAGTCTAGCGAAGACAAACACCCTCATAGGTTCACAGAGGCCTACGCTTTTCCTCAGGTCCTTGTCAAGCGGCAGACCCAGTGCCAAGTAAGACGTCATCATCATCATCATCATCATCATCATCATCATCATCATCATCATCATCGTCATCGTCATCGTCGTCGTCATCATCATCATCATCATCATCATCATCATCATCATCATCATGATCATCAGACGAAATGAGTCTTTCCAATGATCAAGAGAGAAATCAGAGACCCACCATGTAAAACTAAGTACCAGCACCTGGAAGATGTGTATTCTGGGTACTCCTATAAGCGGGAACAAAAATCTATCACATGTCGCTGGGACCAGGTTGAGCTAGCGAGACTACGGTCGGACCATCATTGGAGCTTAAGATGGTATAAGAACTTTGTTAATGAAGAGCTCAACCCATGTTGTCGAAGATGCGGCCATGAAAAGGAGGATGTCAAACATATGTTTGAATGTCCTAGGAACAATGGCAATTCGAATGGAGTTATTTGGGCGAGTGGAGGTGCCGCTACGCATAATATTGACAATGGAGCCAAAAAAGAGCCTCGATATCGCTCGAAGATTTCTTCGTGGAGTCCGCCAGGCCCATTAAGGGAAAAAAAATCATCATCATCATCATCATCATCAACATCATCATCATCATCATCATCATCATCATCATCAACATCATCATCATCATCATCATCATCATCATCATCATCATCATCACCATCATCATCAACAACATCATCATCGTTATCATCATCATCATCATCATCATCATCATCATCATCATCATCATCATCATCATCATTGTATAATACAGATTGTGAAGCGCATAGAGCTTGCTGTGGAGCGGGGATCTGCGCTATATAAATGCTATCTATCTATCTATCTATCTATCTATCTATATATCTATCTATCTATATATCTATCTATCTATCTATCTATCTATCTATCACAGTTTATTTAAACAGAAACGATAACTGTCCAAATGTGTGATAGATGTCGGCATGTGGTGTGCGATATGCATCTGATGTGGCGTTATAACATTGTCAGCTTTTTTTTTCGAATTTTTAAAATGAATTTAAATGCTTCTTTTAAAAAAAATTAAAAATTATTAATTTTTAAATAAATATAATGAAACACACATACACACATATAAAAATAAATATCTTTGTGAAAGTTCATCACTTTAGT